ATTGTTGTTTGAAGTTGACAAAAAACTCACTTTATACTTAAAAATTTCCAGATTTCCTTATACTTTCCTTTGTGATTCTTTCTAGTTGTGAAATGTTACTGCCACTATCCTTAGACGCAAAAGTGGTGTTTCGTTAATCAGTTTGCTAAGCATGGGAGGAGATGCAACCTGTTCATCTTAGAGTTGGAACTCCTGTGGCCGTTGTAAATTTGGATTGTGGTGAGCTCTTAGTGTTCAGAGACTTTTGTGTTCCCTCTCTTATACATGTTTATACTTTTCTATCTTGTTTCAAAAGGACTTAATGTATACAACTTTGTACCAATGACACCTGTGCCAGGTTGGTTCTTTTATATAGTTGTCTTTCTCAATCACTTTTTGTCCTATTTGTATATTTTATAATGTAATTACATATCTATGCTATGAGCACTATTATATTTCTCTATGTTCTTCTTATTTCTTTCTAGTTATTTATTGTCATCTGCTTTAGGTTTTGGCTTGCCTATTGGGAGGGGAGGGGGTTGTAGTAGGCACCATGATGGCTCACTTTTGGTTCATGGTATTACTGAAAATGCCCATTAACAAATCCTAAAGAACCAGCATAAATATGTGATTATATTACTTAAGTTACCCAAATGACCATACGTACTGGATCACTTCACCTCCTAGAGTAAGCACATGATATAAGTGCAAAGAACATACCATTAAGGTCAATTGCAAAATCTTTGAACGCTTACCCAATATTTTAATCTTACCATGTACTTTTTGAATTTCTTAATTTTTAGAATATATTTTCTTTTACCATATATTTTAGGACTCCTTAACACTCTCTTTGGACCATTGTTTCATAATGTATTTTTTTCGTATTGTACTCTATTGTATTGTAATGTATGGTAGATACAATTATTGGCTAGACTATATTGTTTGTTGTTTTTTAATAAAATTTTTATTATTTGATTTGCTTGTATCGTATTCAATTGTAATTATATATTTACTAAAATATCCATGGTTATTCCATGGCATGAGGTTTCACTAGAATTAAATAATATAGGGTAAAGGGTAAAAAGGTGTTATGAAATATTTGTGAGGATATAATTGGAAAAAGAAATTAAGTAACAATGGGGACACACCAAATCGGTTGTTTCATAAAATGAGGTTTTTCATTGTTAAGTAACAACAAAATTTAACAAAAGAATATAATTCATTTTAAGTAATAATCAAAACAAACTAGGTCTGATAATAATACAATACAATACAATGGATAAAATGATCCAAATAGAGTGTAATCAATATTTTTCCTAGTACTTGTTGCGATATATTTTACGACTACTTAATTATTAAATTTCCTAATACATCTTACCATTTATTATATATCCAACTCATCTTACCATAAATTATAGGACAACATGATTTCTTAAGTATTAATTTTCCTTATATTCCTTCATTTATTTTGGGTCTCTATAGTTATTAATTTCCTTATACTTCTTGCCATATGTTCCCACTTCATCTTACCACCTTTTAAAATAAAGTGATGGAATTATATTTTCTAGAGAGTATACATGATCCTCTACTAGAACTATTATTTGGTTGCTGAAATTTTTACATCTGGAACACCATATATTAAATAAATTCCCATATTTGAAGGAATTTTGTATTTTCAATATTGTCTATTTAATAGATTCATTCTCTTCATTGTTATCTCAAGTAAATTTCAGGAACATGAATATTAGTATAGTGGGGAACTGAATGCTTTTGCAATGAAAAATTCATTTTCTTTTAAAGCTTCTTGTATATCGTCAGCCACAAAGGAATCTCATAAAGTCATCACAAACACAATGAATATGAAATAAAAATTATGAAAGATTGTCACTTGAAGCCACATGAATTATCCTTTGGTAGAGTACTTCTGGATCTCAAAGTCCAAGATGATTATAACAATGAGAAGAATTTAACACCGGCTCATGCTAGTGAGTCTTCAAATGAGGCAACTCCCAAGCAGAGGCATTCCTCAAAAACTAAGATTTTCTCTTGCGGTTTTTGCAAGAAAGAGTTTTCCACTAAGCAAGCCATGGGGGGATACCAAAATGCTCACAAACAAGAGAGGGCATTGTCTAAAGTAAAAAGAAACTTGTTGATGTTGTTCACCATTTTGGCCCTTCCAATTATCATCCTTACTATTACCTCTACTCAAATTTCAACTTACACATGCCATTTCACAGTTCTTTTACCAATCAATCTTCATTTGGAATTAAAGTAGATTCTGATGTCGTTCATAACCCAACTTTTTATCAGACAAAACAATTTTTTCAGAATATAATTATGAATTTATCTCTGAGAAGTGGTCATAATCATAAAGCTCATCATTTTTTCGTACAAAAAATCTCCTGGAAAATAACAACATTGATATGGTTGGAACTAGAGTTGATGCTTTTGAGAGTTTCCTTAATTTTAAGAGCAAAAATCGTGCAGAGGGTTTACATATAAAAGATTCATTGGTAACCACTGATGATAATCTTAGTGGAAATATATTACAAGCAACTTAAATTGGAAGAGGGGGATTCAGAAAAGAATAATGAAGATGAAGAGGAGCTTCATTTAGATCTAAGGCTTTAATGTTAGTTTGTAGCTTGCTTTGAATCATTTTGTTATTTTGCGGAGGTTTAATTTATTTGTGCGTTGTTTCTATTAGTTACTATGGTATTATTTCAGAAATTCCAGATGAATTCATTAAATTATTCTCTTTGTCATTTTGTTCCATTTTATTTTTTGAAAATTTGAAGCTTCATGTTAAACCAGAGAGATGTGTCACCTTTTTCTTTTTCTATCTTATTATAACTAGACTTTAATAAGCCTAAATAGTAACTTTACATTTGTTTTAACAAGAATTTCTCTATTCAAACCCACGAGATTACTATTAGAAATAACCATAGTAAACTCAAAAAGGGTAGCAAGATTTCAAACAATATAAGCGAACGAAGATGATTTGGATTGAGACGTAAATTTGATTGTTTTTGTATTGATCTATGACGTGTCAACCCTTATTTCTGAATAGAGGTTTAACCCCACTTGAAGACTCTTGAAGTTGACATTTATTACCTTCAAGAGTATTGTGGCATCGAAGAATTTGACAATTGCATGATTGCTTTCCTGGCCAAAGCTTGGGGTTGCAAGAAGTTCATTAATCAAACACCCTCCGTTACAAAATATATCGTATCTTGTATTTTCTAACGGAAGGTGTTTGATTAATGGCTTCTTGCATCCCCAATCTTTGGCCAGGAAAGCGATCGTGCAATTTTCAGTCCATCACCTACAAAGAGATTTCAGAAGAAGAGTAGCACAGACTATGTCCCGGCAAACATTTGACCAAACTACAATATTAAGTTATATTTTATCTATTAACTAAACCATAATATATGTTGATCATATCTGCAAGAAGAGCAATCAAATCCATCTCTCATCAACCCCATAGCGTCACCATCTTCCCTTCGCACACAAGAATCGAATAACGACCTTTCTACCTTCACAATGTAGGGGAAGACTGTGTACTCATCACCCTCTCCCGGGCTCCATTTGCAAGCCTCGCGAATAATCTCATTACCTTCCCAAGCAAGATCATGTCCTTCATTACGAGCTTTTACACATGCTTCTAGAGCTAATCGATTAGCTACGGCACCTGGCGCATACAGAAGTTGGTGATAAAATTTGTTCAATAGAGACAACTTGTTGGCCTGCAGGAGTCAATACCATAAGAGGGGCAGATGAGCTTGTTGAGGTTTTGTTCGACGCTCGACCTAACAACATTGATTTGTTTTCTTTTGCCCTATTGTTACAACAAATAGTTGGTTTAATAGGTTCTTTAAATGCAAATTAAAGCTAGAGAATAGTGATGGCATGTTAGTACCATTTGCTGAGTTCTACTGCCTGTGGGTAAGTAGGAGCTACGCGTATTGTTGAATTGTACCTACTCTACAGTGACAATCCTGTACGACAGAAAGCTTGCATAACGTTTTGTTATTATATAAATTTTGTTGGTAAAAAGTTCAATGCATGTACCTTGAAAAGTAGAGATTCCTAAATTCCTGCCAAGGATTACAATAAGATCCATTTCTTTTTCCATTTTTGCTTCGATTTCATTTCCTTCAATTTCTCCAAAATCCTCCCATAGAGTGAGGAAAAATTGATTTTTGCTGAAGTACCATGATAACGACCAGATCATAAGTGATGGTACGATTAAGTAAACAATAAAAGTGTTTACTTATTCAAAATATTTTCATTAAATGGGAAAATATAAGGCAAAATGGGCTTACTGATTGTCACAAATGATAATTTCTCGACACTTATGATTACTGCGACCTGCGTATTTTTGAGGACTACAACGGAGAATGATTGCCAGTATATCTGTGTATATAATAAAGAATGAAATGTTGTAAGTGTGTGTATCAGTAAGCAGGTATATTTTACTGTTGTAAAAGTTAATAGGGTGGATATACCAATTTTTCACAGTAGAATCAAGCATCATGTGAGGAATGCGGTCAAAGGTTGTGAGATTGAGCTTGGTTGGTGGTGGAAGTGGATTCTCAACTCCATTAGATGGTGTGATATGTTCAATTACTGTTTCTTTGTCAAGAACCCAGTAAAATTTGTGTATCAGCTTGCCGTGTGAAGTTTGGGAGATTTTGACTCTTGCGGTAGAGATGAGATAGGTATTCATGAGTTTAAGCATTTCTGCATACTGTTCAATTTCATCTGCATACAGTACTGCCTTTATTTGGCATTCCTGAAAGTAAGAGTTGTAGATATTTGAGAATAAGTTAAACTGTTTACTAACAGTAAAATAAAACAAAAATTTTCATATGAGGTAAATATTAAAAAAGGAGAATATTCATGAGATTAAATGTAATGAGCTCACTTGTTCATCTTCCAAAATCAAATTTTGGAATCTACATTTCTTGTCATGGCTTTCTCTCGGGCGTCTGATTTCCACAATTTGCACTTTGCAAATCCAATCTTGTGTTGTTAATGCTATTTGATCGATGTTAAATCTTAGTACCATGTTTGTTAGAAATATTTAACCAAGCAGTAGTATCTGCAAGATAGCATCACTATTGAGTGAAAGTCCTTTCATTTATGTGGTTGCATGAACATGAACAATTGAATTAGGAAAAACATGCAAGAACATATTGTCCAAAATTGAAATTTTAATTGAAAATAACAAGTTTAATTTTGTCCCATATTGATTTTCTCCTTTGATGACAACTAAAATCTGCAAGAAAAATTAAAAATGGGAAGAGGGAAAACATGAAAAGGGGAAAAATACCTTAGAAAGAGAGCAATAAGTGAAAGTCCTTTCTTTTATGTGGTTGCATGAACATGAACAATTGAATTAGGAAGAACATGCAAGAACATATTGTCCAAAATTGAAATTTTAATTGAAAATAACAAGTTTAATTTTGTCCCATATTGATTTTCTTCTTTGATGACAACTAAAATCTGCAAGAAAAATTGAAAATGGGAAGAGGGAAAACATGAAAAGGGGAAAAATACCTTAGAAAGAGAGCAATATTTTTTTTCTTCAATGGAAAGGATGACAAATTTGTGCTTTATGAGTAATGATGATGATGAATAATGAGTAATAATGTATGTGTGTGTGTGTGTGTATATATATATATATATATATATATATATATATATATATAAATAAAAATATATACAATATTAAGTAGACACGTTATACTATAAAAAAGTACAGGTGTCTTCTTTAAAATTGATAGATTTAGTAGCCAATGAGATTGTGCCAAAAAAGAGAAAAAGTTATTGCATTTGATAGTAAAATTTAATGATATATTATATATGTCAGAAAAAGAAGTTATTACATTGAAAGCATAATTTGAATAGCCTTTGGTCCAAGTTTGTTTTTCAGCTCCATAATTTTATTTTATTATTATTAGATATATAAATTTGGAAATTGATAAATATGGAGTAGAAAATAAAAATGGCAAAAATCACTTATCTTTGTTCAAGTATATGTATTGTGTATTTATCTTGAGTGATTGCTATGAAGTTGCCTTTTAGGATTTTTTGAGAATTTGTTTGAGAATTAACAGTTATTATAACTATATAAAATAAACTAAAAACCAGTATATTATTTTTGAGGTAAGAAAATGGTCGTGTAGCAAGTTTTAACTCCTGTCCAAGTTAAATTTTACAGTTGGTATGTATATATACATAAAACTTTCATGTCTGTAAAAATCAATAAATTACTACTTGAAATAATAGATATTTTCTTACCTGGACATAACAAAATTAGTAAGACTTATTCTTTAATTAGAAAGGACCACACAATTTGGTAGTGAACCAGGTCAGATATACTTAGTGATTGACATGTTTCAATTTGTCCAATGTTCTATTGAAGTTGTGACTGCATTCTTCAACAGTATGAGGTCTAAGTGTTGAAGCAAAAGGCAACCAAGAGAAAAGTAAAAATAGTTTTATATTCATTTAAGTACATAGCATGCAAATTCCCTGTAAACTAACTCACAAGCTAACTCACTGTGAATTCTGTAATCTGAATAGAGCAGTTGCATATACATGTGAGAAAGAGATGAGCTATTTCTTCTATCAAATAATATTGATCATATTTCAATCTTGGATCATGATAGAACCAAACATTTATTCATGTTGAAGTACTAATAATTTATAGTCTATGTGCAATAGTTGCCTTGTAAGGATTTTTTATTATTATAATAAGCGCATAAGATCATACCATCAATCAAACATATAAAATACATATCAATAAATGTGCTATAAAATTTACTCTCTGTCATAGAGCAGTAATAATGAACACAATTCCTGAACGAATATATTCATTGTAGACCCATATCCCAACCTTAATGAATAAGTGAAGATCACAACATTTTAAGAAGTTAGATGTTGGAAGTTTGAGTTGTGGCACATAGACATTTGTAGAGGCAAACGACATCTCAATCAATGTAATGTGACATGTTTCATTCGGTAAAACATGAATTATCAAATGATGAGCACTATTGTGGCTATGAAGGAACTTACTATTTCAAGACTAAGTTCCATCGTTGCTGGGCGTAAATAGTGTGAAGTTCTGAGTATGGGCAAACAGATAATGTAACATGTGGAATTGATATTGAGAAAAGACAGATTCCTGCAAAAATCAAGTAAAATCATTATGCAGTCAAAATCCCAATGGTTAATCAACCATTAAGTGCTAACTCATTAGAAGGAAAAGGATGATGGTTTCAAAATCGCATAAAAACATGTACAAGTTCTTTTAATTTTTAGTTAAACATGTGCAAGTTCAGGAAACCAGTTCCAAAAATAGAGGAAGTTAGAATAGAAATTGAATAATTACAGCATAGTAAATCAAACAAAACATTCATGTAAAGTGATTACCTCATTTTTAGCAGCAACATCTTTCTCACCACCTTGAACTGGCCTCAATGCAAGTTGAAGGTAGTCCCGCGGAGTTATTTTGCGGTTGTCCTCGACCCAATCCAAATAAAAATCCTTTTGCAGAAAAGAAAAATGTATTTTAATAGTTTTACAAACAAGAACAGAAGAAAATCTACAGTGATAATAAACAAATTGTGAATGTACTCTAGGCAACCAAATGAAGATTGGGGAGAACTGGCCAAGCTTAGAAGCACTGACCTTTCCTCCAGCGGCTCTAACATGAATATGCCTAGTCATTTCAGTGACAAGAGAGAGGTAGTCAAGAGCAACTTCATCAAAACCTCCCATCTAAATTACAGAATTAAAGAGATTATCAGGACAACTAACAAACAAACTGACTGTAACTTGAAAGGGGAATAAAGCATGATTGCGAACTGCAGATAAACTCGTTAGCGGGAATAACAACGACTAGCAGTACGATGAAATCTGATAAAAAGGAGGAGTAGGTAGTCTTCAAAAACTAGGCTTGCTTTCGAAGAAACTGAAACCTCGAGCTCGAGGACGTAGTTTTCCGATAAAAAGATCGACCTGTCATATAACTATTGTAATGAAAGATATATCTTTAGATGATGAATATGGCGAGATGTCTTCGTTAAAAAAAATGAGATGGAAAAAAAAATCTACAGCTATGCTAGATTTAGCTTTGGATCGATCAATTGCCCCAACCCCATCATCGAATGAGGTTAAGCACGCCTTGATTTGTATATAACTTTGTATGACTTTTCTCTTCTATTTTTTTGTATTTCCTCCCTTTCCTTTTCTATTTGTATTTATTTATCATTGCTTCCAGAGAATTCCATGTTCTATAACGACAAAACCTCTTATTTTACTCTCTGCTAGACGTCTAGTAGTCTCTGACCGACTCTGCTTTGGACATTACACTGGTAAAATTATTGTTGTTGTATACCACTCCATTAGGAAGTCATACAAATTATCTTAATTTTGTTTTAATTGTCACAATGTATAACTTTATTGTCATTTGTCAACATCAAAAGTGTGCCCACTTAGTGCTTTTAACTTGTCCAAATAACAATAAGTGACTCCTTTAGTACTGCATGAGTCTTATACTATAAAGGCCACTCCCCGAGGGTTGTTTACTCTTTTTCTCAAAAAAGAAATATTTTCTTATGATATCTCTTTATAAGAATTACTCAGAGAAATAAAATACCCATGTTATGCATCTATGAAGACATAGTTTTTAAATTCTTAGGATTTGGCGCACTTTCAGTTTTACTTTCAAGTACTTAAATTGGAATAAAATAGGGACTGACTAATTTTCATTTTACAAAATGAAAACAATAGCTATTTAGTTATATCTTAATCAATTCTATAGCGGGAGTATTCCTCTAGTTACACATAAGAAAATTATTTTATATGTATATAGCACAACATATATTCTCTTGACTTTTCAGTATGTTGCCTTTTATAAGTTAAATTTCTTGGTAAAAATTCTGACTCCATGGCCCCTACTATTATTTTCCTTAGAAATTCTTTGATTAATTATGAGCTTTAACATCAAAATATGAGGTTTTGATTGGTAAATAATGAGGTTTTTCAGAAAACCAAATTCCTAGCTAAGTAGAGTTTGTGAACTGATTTCAAGTTCTATTCTGAAATTATTTTCCCTAATGAGATCCTAAAACCTTGAGTAATATTTTCAAGTATTGTTTTTCCAGAGTCAAACCTTAATTTAGAGTTGGGTTTTGTATCAATTAACCTACTTTTCAAGAATATTGATATGTGTATTGTTGTTTCTGGAATTTTATCTTAAATATATGTATATTATAGATTATATGTCTTCGAAAGTGGTTCGGAAGGGGAAGAGTAAACTATTAGAGTGATTTTTCATTGATTAGGACAAGTGACTTTTTAAATCTTGTATCCTAGTTTGAATTTGTATGCTTCCTTTGTTGATTGTGCGTTGGGAGTACTGGGAATGAGGTAAAGGTTTAAATTGTCCACTTTCTATATCTAAATAAATAAAGTGGGATTGAAATGGAGAAGGCTATGTGTTGAACATGATGATGTGAATTGCCTTAATGTAACCCTTATTGATTTATAAAATGCTTGAAAGCATGAATGTGGACTTTAATTGTTGAAATTGTTTTCTATTTGAGGTTGTGTAATATTGCTTATGTGCTTTGATCATTGAACACAGTGATGAGACGTGTGATGAGTGTTTTTATGTCGAGGTCTTTGTTGTTTAGTGTTATTATGTAGAGATCTTTACCGACGAGTGCTTATAATGTCGAGGTCTTTGCCGGAGAGTGTTAAGATGTCAAGGTCGTTGCATGTGAGTGTTTCCAATGTCGAGGTCTTTTCCTGCTACTTTTATAAAGCCGATGGGAAATAGTTTCGACTAGTGATGATCATTATGACTTGGTACACTTAATGCTTACATGTGTTACTTATTTGTGAATTGAAATTGATATGTGTGTGTTATGTGTGACTTAGTTAATCGTCAATGATATAGACTCATTTGACTTAATAGATTTTTTATTTGTAAAGCTTGAACTTTGAATATTAAGTCTGTGAGTCGTGTATTTTGCTAGGTTTGGCTAATCTCTATGCAGGTTGTAGTTTGAGGAGGTTTGGTTGGACAGTAAGGGATATTCCATTTCTAACTAGTTGTTAGTTCATTAAGTTTCTTGTTGGGTACCATTTTTTTGGTACTCACCCTTGCGTATACACTTGTATAGGTTTTAACTGAGGACCTTTGTGATATCTTTCTCCTTCTATTGATCTCGAGATTCATCAAGGACTTGAAGAGGTAGTTGTTTTTCATTCAGTGGGCCCTCTTTTTCCTTTTCTTATACTTTGTTATGTTTGAGAGAAAATGTTGAGACTTGTATTTATTTCTAAATTACACACTTATGTAATTACTAGCTTGTACATGTGACAACCAAATTTTGGGGGTTTTAGTAGAAGAATAAGTTCTTCCGCTTTATCTTGTTCTTATCTTTACTATTTCCAATTTTTCTTTCATTTTTGTTGGGTTGAGGCTGACTTGTCTTGGTTAAAAAAATAGGTTCTATCACGTCCATGTTTTGGGTGTGACAAGAACTTGTTAGAACCAACTGTGGCTCATGATGTAATGGATATGAAGTACTTACAATGTCGCTATCCTTAGACGCAAAAGTGGTGCTTCGATAATCAGTTTGCTAAGCACGGGAGGAGATGCAACCTGCTCATCCTAGAGTCAAATCTCCCATGGCCGTTGTCAATTTGGATCGTGGTGAGCTCTTAATGTCTGGAGACCTTTGTGTTCCTTCTTTTATACATGTTTATACTTTTCTATCTTGTTTCAAATGGACTTGATGTATATAACTTTGTACCAATGACACCACGTCTGGTATTGGTTCCTTTATATAGTTGTCTTTCTCAGTCACATTTTGGTCCAATTTATATATTTTATATCGTAATTACATATCTATGCTATGAGACCTATTATATTTCTCTATATTTTGCTTATTTCTTTCTAGTTATTTACTATCATCTGCTTTGGGCTTAGGCTTGCCTATTTGGGGGGGGGGGGTTGTAGTAGGCACCATGATGGCTAACTTATAGTTCATAGTATTTCTGAAAAGCCTATTAACATATCCTAAATAACTAGTATAAATATGTGATTATATTATTTAAGTTACCTAAATAACCATACGTATCGAATCCCTTCACCTCCTAACGTAAACACGTGATATAAGTGCAAAGAACCTACAATTAATGTCGGTTGCAAAATCTTCGAACTCTTACCCAATGATTTTTCTCTTACCATCTATTTTTTGAATTTCGTAATTTTTTAAATATATTTTCTTCTACCATATATTTTAGGACTCCTTAACACTCTCTTTAGATCATTGTTACCCATTGTTTCATCATGTACTTTATCATATTTGTAACATCTCGCAACTTGAAATATCTACGAATAAGCTAAGAAACTAAAAATAATCCTTTTGGAAATAAAAGGGAATATGGAAAATATTTCTAAGTTAAAAAAGTGAATTTTGGTCATTTTCAAACAGTCATAACTCCTAGCTCAGGATGAGTTAGAGGTGCTTCTGAATATGGGTGTAAATATCTTGGAATTATCTTTTCAACATCCTTGAGTTTTCACTATTTCGATATTGATGCCTTTCGAAAGTTGGGTTGTTGGATTGACAAAAGTCTTAATCCGGATTTAGGGAAGGGCAAACTAGTATTTTCACCAATTAATTTCCTATTTCATTTTAGGGGTTTATTGGGGTAAAATAAATTCTTAGATCAGTTTGGAAAAGTTAGATTTACGGTTAGGTCTTGGAGAAGAGAGAAAAGAAGAAAGAAAAGGAGAGAAATCAAGAATTCTCCAGAAACGTCAAACTTTGCGAGTGGAATTCGTCGTGGTGATCCATATGAAGGTATCTGAGATCTTTTAGTGTTAGGTCAGTTCACCCACACATCAATCTTGTTTCAATTAGTTGACTTTCGAGTTGATTGAATGATAAAAAGTGATGTTCTTGAAGAACATTGTTGAATTCTTGTTGGTTGAGTTGTTGAATGTCTAGTGTTGATTTGATTAGTGTTTCTAGGTTGTTTTTTTGAGTTAAATATATTGGGAATTGAGGGTAATAATGATCCTAAGTGTTTGGGTAAAGAATCATGTAAGTTTAGAGGGTTTAGAGATGAAAAACGGAGGAGTAAAGTAGAGAACGCATGTGCGTATGGCCTTGGGGTGCCGCACAAGCCATAGCCCCACAGGAAAATCTTTGTCCGTAGGGCCTTGGGGTGCCACGCCAGCATGATCACCCCAACCTGGCCTCTGATGTTTTGGGCCTAGTGCCCCACGCCTCTCAGAGCGCTCAGGACGCCAGTTCACCCCATTCTTTCACCACCTTTTCATACTAGTTCCTAAGTGATGTACCCATATTTTTTAGTTGATCCCAACACTCTAAGGAACATCTAAACATTATGAAATCATCCATAAACATGAGATCATAAACCTTGAATCCAATTCAAGGAAAGTTAAGCGTCAAGTCCAAAAGTTAAGTTTAAGTCATAGCAAGTTCTTAAAGTTTTCAAGAATATTTAACAAACGTTTTAACTTTGTTTTAAGGCTCAAGTTTCAAGCTAAGCAAAGAGTAAAGAGTTGAGTTCATTTCTCAAAAGTTATAAGGGAACTAAGTATTCCTCAAGAGTTAAGTTGCAAGTTAAGCAAGGAGTAAAGAGTTGAGTTCATTTCTCAAAATTTACAAGGGAACTATGTATTCCCTAAGAGTACAAATGTTTTCACATTTTGAGAAAGAAAGGAAGTTAAGACTTCCAAAAACCTCAAACTAGAGAAGAAGTTGTTTTAA